ATTAAAAATATCCTAATTAGTGCACCGCCACAATCTTTGTTGGAGAGGGTCCCTCAACCCCTCAGTAACATATTCCAAGTGGAATGGAGTCGGTTGGTGCATGCGTGTCCGTGCACCACCATTTTGTTCACCGGAAGTTGGGAGAAATGAATCTTAAAAAATTAATTAAAAATACCCTAATTAGTGCACCGTCACAATTTTTGTTGGAGAGGGTCCCCCAACCCCTCAGTAACATATTCCAAGCGGAATGAAGTCGGTTGGTGCATGCGTGTCCGTACACTCCCACCGCATTGACCGGAAGTTACACAAAATGAATCTTTAGAAATTTATAAAAAATACCCTAATTAGTGCACCGTCAGAATTTTTGTTGGAGAGGGTCCCCCAACCCCTCAGTAACATATTCCAAGTGGAATGGAGTCGGTTGGTGCATGCGTGTCCGTGCACCCCCACCGCATTCACCGGAAGTTACACAAAATGAATCTTTAGAAATTTATTAAAATTACCCTAATTAGTGCACCGTCACAATTTTTGTTGGAGAGGGTCCCTCAACCCCTCAGTAACATATTCCAAGCGGAATGGAGTCGGTTGCTGCATGCGTGTCCGTGCGCCCCCACCGCATTTACCGGAAGTTACACAAAATGAATCTTTAAAAATTAATTAAAAATTCCCTAATTAGCGCACCGCGATAATTTTTGTTGGAGAGGGTCCCCCAACCCTCTAGCTACATATTCCAAACGGAATGGGGTTGGTTGGTGCATGCGTGTCCGTGCATCACCATTTTGTTCACCGGAAGTTGGGAGAAATGAATCTTAAAAAATTAATTAAAAATACCCTAATAGGTGCACCGCGATAATTTTTGTTGGACAGGGTCCCCTAACCCCTTAGGGACACATTAAAAATAAAATGACATCGATTGGTGTATGCGTTTATTGCACTCCTATTGACCGCGTAAAAACTTATAAAAATAAAAAAACTACCATGAAATTCCTCCTCGAGAAATCATTCCCCACCCTCGTCATACATTAAGAAATAATAATAATAAAAAAAAAATTGTTCGATTGTTTTTGCTTCCGAATGGAAGCTTTGTAATCGCAATTTTTTTCGATTCTCTAATTTTGCTTGGATATGACTCAGGGTGATCTGAAACGTCGACATTTGATATTTTTAGCAAATGTATGTATGTATGTGTGTGCGTGTGTGTGTGCATGCGCATTTGTCCAGAAAGTCATCAATAACTCTGAAACTGTCTTTACGAAAAATCTGAAATTTTGGCTCATAATAGGTCCTAATGGAAGACAGACATGTGCAAAATTTCAGCCTGATCGACTAAGTGGTTCCTGAAATATAGCATTTTATGGTTTTTCACGAATATCTCATCAACGGCTTTATCAATGAAAATTTTTTTTATCCGAAAATCTTTGTTTTGATAATACCTATCTTTTTGTATCAAAACCTAATGAATCCACTACGGAGAATGGGTTTTTTT